CTTAATGCCAGAGGGGCGTGGTTGCGGTGAGGGGCGGGGAAGGGGGCGTGGCCCTCGGGCATCTCTCTGTCGAATGGGCTTGAGACAGATCTGGGGTGGGAGTCCATGCCTCGGAGACAGATCCAGAGTGGGGTGGGAACGATGGGTAGAGAGGGAGTCACAGCTGGACCAGATGCTGGCTGAGGCAGAATGAGAGACATCGGCTCCTACGGGCTAGGGCAGGACCACTGTCACAGCTAGCGCGGCGTGGGGAGATGGGAAATGTGCTATTCTAAATGCAGCCACGGTGGCAGGTTTGGGGGCATTGTGGGGTGCGGCTTGCTGCTCCAGGTGTTCATAGAGATCTAGAGTGAGAATCGGGCCTTGGCTGTGCCAAGCAGGTGGGGGTTAAGTTTAAGACATGCAAATTGCCCAGAGGGCAGATTTGGATGCCAAGGGGTTAGGTCAAGGTGTGTGAGTATCTAAGGTTGGGAATCCAGTTCAAATATGGCAAGAGCCGTTTTGGATTTAAACCCGAGAAGGGGCCAATTGAGAGTGGAACTGGGAAATGAAACTTCAAGATTTGGAGACTTAGCCTCAAAGGTGATTGGGGAAGGTGAAGACAGGCCAGGGCTAGACAGGGCCTCTTGATGACCACTGTTGACTGTCATCTACATGAAAATCTTTGAGTATTCGATTGAATACAGCCTCCAACTGCAGTCAATCTCCCCTAAACCTCCCTGTTGTCACTGACAAGCATGTATGTACGTATGTATACACATACATATATATGCTTTTATAGAAAGGGAAATGCACATATAGAGAAATATAGTTACATACACATCCTATGTATATGACTATCTGCCATTTGCCTGCATGTATGTATGCACATAATGAACATGTGTGGTACCCAAGAGGACAGAAGAAGGTGTCAGATCCCCTGGAACTGGAGTCATCACTGGATGCTGGGAACCAAACCCAGGTCCTCTGCAAGAGCAATTAGCTGCTGACTTTAAAAGGAAGCATTCCAACCGAGATCAGCTTTATTGGGATAATACACCATATCTCCCACAGCCTCCCCATTAGACAAATCTCGGTTACAGGTTACACATTTACCTGCTAAAGGCTTGGAGAAATCTTGAAGGAAAGATACCCCCTTAAGTTGATTTAACAAAGTGATTCCCAGGCTCGTTTGAATCCTTTTTACAAGCTGACCTATTTCAATCCAGCAATTATCCTCCCTGGCTTTGGGTTTCCTTGGTAGTTTATTGCCTCCCCGACATGGTGGATGAATGAATGAGTGAATGAATGAATGACCTAGCTTGGTCTAAGCTGGCCCAAACTAGAGGATTCAGAAGTGGAAGATGTTTTTACTTTATTTAAAAAAAAAAAAAGCATGGCAAAAAAAAGCATGGCAGTGGTGGTGCATACCTTTTAGTTCCAGCACTCAGGAGAAAGAGGCAGGAAGATCTCTGTGAGCTCTAGGCCAGTCTGTCTACAGAGTAAGTTCCAGGATAGCCTGGGTTACCCAGAGAAACCCTATCTTGAAAAAAAAAAAAGGGGTCAGCTAACTTTGGAGTAGTGAGTTCTTCATTCCCTGCCTGGACCTTGCTGAGGCTTACCTGGAAAGAACTTACTTGAAGGGCTAGCCAGGGTAGGACCAACATCACCTGTTCCCTCCTTCCTCCTCCTGAGATCTCTGGAGAATGCATGTGCCCTGCTGGCTAAACTTCCAGCCACACCTCTCTCACCTGAGAAGGAGACACCCCTTGATGTCCCCTTTGGACTTAGGTAGGTGGTGGCACAGAAACCTGCCTCCCCATGAGGAGGCTATGCTGAAAGGTGGGGTTCAGGTCACACCCCACCCCCATCTGCTTCTCCTGCCTCCTGGGAAAGTGGGCTCATTAGCTGTAACTACACTGGGACTAGGGCAGCCTCCACCCTCAAGGTCTGCTTCCCCCAGCAGCCAGTGGCCCCTGTGCTGGGCCCCTATCCTGGGGAATGATGGGCGGAGCTGGCAGAGACTGGGGGATCATCTGGTGCCGAGCTCACTTGACAGACAGATGGAGAAATGGTAGACGGGGAGGAGGGGACTTGCTCAAGGTCTTGAAGGCTGAGGAGGCCAGGCTCACACACAGCTGGGGTTTCCAGGCCCCCTACCCACAATTTGGCCTGCAGCATTTACCTTTATTCTAAATCTCAGAGACTCCAGAGTGGGAGGATTAATAGCTTTGCCTTTATCCTCAGGCTGCTCCACCCTGGCTGTCCCTGCCATATGCTGGCTGTGGGACCTTAGGAAAATGACTTGTTATCTCTGAGCCTCTGGCCCCTTGACCTGTCATACAGAACTGTTCTGTACCCTATATTTCAGGGGGTGCATCCTGGCATACTGCGTGAGTTCAGTCAAGTCACCCCAGTCATCTGAGTCTACATGTGTCATCAATTACATTCCCAGGAAGGGTGTCACAAGAGTTAACAGTTCATCATCCAAAGTGCCTAGAACTGTGGCTGGCACAGTCACCAAGAATGACTTTTAGACATCTGTATTTATTTTAACAGTAGTATTTATATAGAAAGTGGGGCAATATGATATACAAGGCCAAATACCCCTCATCCTACCTGTGGATAATCCTGGCTAGAATGACTGTATAGTTCTGTAAAAGTTTCATGTGTGCGTGTGCGTGTGCGTGCGTGCGTGCGTGCGTGCTCGCGTGTGTGTGTGTGTGTGTGTGTGTGTGTGTGTGTGTGTGTGAGTGAGTGTGTATGGGCATGTGTGCCTGCATGCTCCCCCCAACTACTGATTAGCACCTGTACCACAGAGCAAAGGGGAGGGAGGAGCTCATCTCCAAAGAGTTTGGGATTCATGAGTGAAGGGCTGCCCACAGCTGTCCTTGTAATGCTTCACGTGATCTTCGTAGCACCTGCTGTGGGTACCATTGTGAATTGTTCCTTTTATAAATGGAGGCGGGCTCACAAAGCTAAGTGATGGTGAGTGTCGGGGTCAGGACTTGGGACCAGTCCAACTGTGCCACATAGGGCCTCTCTGCTGCCTCTGAGGGCCATTCCCTGGCCTCCCCGTCCCTCATCCAGAATTGTCTCCTACCCACTCCGCCTGTTTTTGAATCAAGTGCACTTAGCACAAGACCAGACTAGGGACACAGTCTGTTGGTGCCAGCTGACACCACAGGGCAGGTGGCTGGGATGTCACCCTGATCAAGCAGAGTATCCGGCTCCCTAGCCTTCTCAGGTTCCTGACCTCCAGAGAGAAGATCCGATTCATCCGAGCGTCCCTTTCCAGGCCTCATGTGATCACTGGAGCTTTTCCTCAGGCGTGCCTCATTGGCAACAAAGGCGGCAGGGCTGGGCCTTGGATGGGAACCTAACGAGCTGGGCACAATGATGAGAGACAAGAAGTCAGTCCAGGAGGGAAGAGGGGGGCTTGGGTGTGTGGGGCTCAAATCTTTGATCTGAGTTTTTCTGCAGGGTGGAAGGGCTTTCCTTTCCCTCTTTCTGATTGAAGACACGAGTGTTCACCTTCCATGTAAAGAGTGAGCGCCACTGCCTATCCCAAGGGTGACTGTCACAAAAGCACTTATTTTGTACCCTGGAGACAAATGAGTGTTTCTGTCCTGGGGAAATGACCCTCTGCCATCACATTTCCTGGGAAAGGGTAGGGTTTTATGCATATAGAGCAGCCTGCATAGGCGTGAGGCAGGAGGTGCACGCACTCCTCTCCATGAAGGTGTCTGGGCAGCCAGGAAGCCTAGTTCAGCTGCACAGGTCACAGTGCTGAGTTGAGACTTGAAGTTGGAGGCCCCCAGAATGTTCATTTTCTGGAATGAAACCGTCTGATGACAAGATTGAAAGTGACAAAATACACATCTGAAGAGTAGAGTGAATTGGTGTTTTGGGTTCCTGGTGTTGTGTGATGGGCACAGTCCCTTGAGATAGCCCTTCCTTCCCTACATCTAGAGAGGGTCGAGGATCAGCAGCGTTCTTCAGACGCTCCCCGAGGCTGGGAGACTGGAAACCTACCTTAGTTCTCCCTATAAGCAGGCGGAAGAGCTGGAAGGCACAGCATCTTCATCAGTCCTCTGACCGTCTCCTCCAGGAGTGACCAAAAGTACAAGAGCTTCAGACACCTGATGGCCCATTCTCCCCATTTTACAGATAGGGAAATAGGCTTGCCAGAGCTCTGTACCCAGTCAGTCCAAGGTCACAGTTTTTGGCTGAACACCCCACCTTGAGCTCTGCTGGACACAGGGTGGGCATGGAAGATTTGGAGGTGACATCAAACTTGGATTCAAGATTGTCTTTAATGTTTTGTCCTGGCCTTATACCTCTGTGGCTGCTGAGGGTTGGTCCTGTGTTGAACCTAGGACAAGGCTACCTGATCATGGCCCTACCATGATTCTGTGGGTCAGCCCCCATCCCAGGGAACTCTTTCCAAGGTCTGCCCAACTCAAAGAAGTAATCCAGGCCAGGCCAGAGAGGGCATGAGCAGAGGAAAGGAAGAAACCCATAACTACCGCACAGGC